GCAATGCTTTAAGGAAAAACTGCAATAAAGTCCCTACATATTGGCCTCATAATCGATTTAGTCACTATATTTTTTTTTATTCAATTAAGTCCCAAGTACCGATAATTGTATTCAATTTAACCATTTGACCCGGTCAACAGGTCATCCAACTTTCAAAAATTACATTTTTGGCCCAGATTTCAAATTTTATTACAAATTTGGTCCAAAATTTAAACTTTTGGCCCAGATTTTAAATTTTGTTACAAATTTGGTCCAAACTTTACCCTTTTTGTCCAAATTTTAGAATTTTATAATGAATTCATCATAACTTTAGTTTTTTTTACAACTTTTTTTTTCTCAAATAATTGTTTCTAATATGCTTTTTCTTTATAAAATCATATTTATACAAAAAAATAACGTATTTCACATAAAAATCTTATATTTTCTGTATAAAAACTTTTTTTAAAAACTTTTTTGTATATGAAATATCTAGTTATAAAAATAGATATTTATTAAGTATATAAATATATACAAATCCGTTTTTATAAAAAATGTATACAAACACGATTTTATAAAATATATACAAACACGTATTATATAAAAATTATTCAAACACATTTTTATAAAATGTATACAAACACGATTTTATAAAATGCAAACACGTATTATATAAAAAATTATTCAAACACGTTTTTATAAAAAAAATATAAACAAACACGATTTTATAAAAAAAATATAGATACACACCTATTTGTGTGCATATATATATATATATATATATATATATATATATATATATATATATATATATATATATATATATATATAAAGGTGATAGGTGTTTGTATATATATTTTTTGTAAAATATGTTTTTGTATACATTTTTTTATAAAAACGGATTTGTATATATTTATATACTTAATAAATACATATTTTTATAACTAGATATTTCATATACAAAAAACTTTTTAAAAAAAGTTTTTATATAGAAAGTGTAAGATTTTTATGTAAAAATACGCTTTTTTGTATAAATATGATTTTATAAAGAAAAAACATATTAGAAACAATTTTTTGAGAAAAAAAGTAGTAAAAAAAACTAAAGTTAGGATGAATTCATAAAAAAATTCTAAAATTTGAACAAAAAGGGTAAAGTTTGGACCAAATTTGTAACAAAATTTAAAATCTGGGCCAAAAGTGTAAATTTTGGACCAAATTTGTAATAAATTTTGGAATCTGGGCCAAAAATGTAATTTTTGAAAGTTGGATGACCTGTTGACTGGGTCAAATGGTTAAATTAAATACGATTACCGGTATTTGGGACTTAATTGAATAAAAAAAATATAGAGATTAAATCGATTATGAGGCCAATATGTTGTGACTTTATTGTAGTTTTCCCATGCTCTAAAGAACCAACCACTACCAATGACATCATTCCATCCATTATTGTATGTGACCTCTTTTTGCCGTCCAACACAACATCACCATTGACAATCTCAATAACCTCCTCAGTTACCACACCACCACATTGTGGTGGACCATATGAAGGGCACAAATGATTTTTTTACGCCAACAGTGAATAAGGCGATGAAGATGAACGCCGATTGTGGGAGGGAAGCGGTAATCGATATGAGGGAGTGGTGATTGGAAAAATGACCAAGAGTTGGGGACGAAGAGAGATAAAGAGGTGAGAGAGATGAAAACTTTAATCTAATACATTTTTTTTTTTGGGGGGGGGGGGGGGGTGAGGTATTTTAATTTCTTAAAATAGTATAATTAGTTAAAGAAAAGATAAATAAGCTAAAAAGAGTATAAATGCCATTTTATATGTATAAATCAATCATAAAAAAACCGAAATCACATGAAAAAAAAGAGTTTTGTAATTGTCCTCAACCAACTAATTTTGACAAACTATAGATACATCACATTCAATTTCAAACACTACCACAACAATAAATATAATCATTAGGCCTGGCAATTGGGTTGGGTTCGGGTTGGCGGGTCAAAATACATTGACCCAACCCAACCCATATAATATATGGGTTGGTGGGTTGGGGGGTCACGAGTTGGCGGGTTGAAAACATCAACCCAACCCAACCCAACCCATATAACCCGTATAAGTATATGGGTTTGTGGGTTCGTGGGTCGAACCCAACCCGTATAACCCATTTAATAAGCAGCACATTTTAAAATGAAATTAAAAAATACAAATAAAATGAAGTCTTAAATATTCAATATAAAGTCATAAACAGGAGTGACGACGATGAATGGTGTGCGACAACCAGAGGACGAGAAGACGAGTGGTGTGTGTGCGACACTACGACAGTCGATGACTCGATGCCTCAATCGACGGAGACGGGAGACACGGAGTCGTGAGTTTGGAGAGCGAAGACTGGATTTGTTTTTGATTAGGGGCTTTTTAGGGGCTAGGGTACGCTAAGTCGACTCGAAGAAGTTTTGCAGTTTTGGAATTCGGAAAACGATTAAACGATAATCAAATATTCAAAACTGATAAATAATTAAATATATTTTTTAAACATTATATATATATATATATATATATATATATATATATATATATATATATATATATAATCGGGTTGGCGGGCTGACCCCCGAACCCAAACAGGTAACCCAACCCAACCCATGAAATAAACGGGTTGACGGGTCAAAAATCTCAAACCAAACCCGTTTATTTTCGTGTTGGGTCAATGTCGGGTTACGTGTTGGGTCGAGGATTGCCACCCCTAAAATATATGACTAATTTGCTTAATTTGATTGTTAATAAGTTATTTCTAAATGTTTCAAATGAAAAATTATATGCAAACAAAAATGTGTGACATTCGATTTTTTCACAAGTGTTATTAAACATAAATATTTATTCAACACAAATTTTTAGAAAATTAAAATAAGAAAAAATATCATAAATGGTCCCTGTGGTTTCTTCATATCCGAAGTTTAGTCCTCGTGGTTTAAAAACACTATAGATGGTCGCTGTGCTTTCAAAACTTTTGACGATTGGACATTATTGCTAACTCCGTTAAGTTTTGTCTATTAACCGAAGGGCATTTTCGTCATTTCACGACCACAGAGACCATTTACGATGTTTTCACTTATTAAAAGAAGAATAAAAAATAATATGCAAAAAGGGTCCCACCCTCTCTATCTCTTTCTTTCTCTCTCTCTCTCTCTCTCTCTCTCTCTCTCTCTCTCTCTCGTCAAGAACACATATACACACAATAAGAACATACACTCCCTATAACCAAAATAGTTGTATGCGATCGAATCAAAACCGGCCTAGAAACATGAATCGAGTTGTAACAGAAAAATGTGAAGAACAAATGGATTTTTGTGGATCTTACTTACTCGTATACTTGCTTTATCAAGTTAATTTCCTGTTTCGACGACTTAACATCGGAGTTCAGATCATCAACCTCCCACCCCCACCATCGTCAACCTCCCACCACTATCTTCAACCTCAAAATCGGAGTTCAAATCTTCCTCTTCATCCTCAAAATATGGGTAAACCTTTCTTTCGTTGAATAACCGATGGCAAAAAATCGATTTAAAGAACATTCAAACCCTGGAACCAAAATAAACCGAACCAAACTTGGTGAAAAATCAAAGACCCCATCGTTCTCTTCCTTTCAGTCACATCCGAATAAATAGAACATGACGATGGCTTGGTGTTGGACTATTGGAGAGAGAGAGAGAGAGAGAGAGAGAGAGAGAGAGAGAGAGAGAGAGAGAGTGACCTTTTGCATATTATTTCATTTTTTTTAAATAAATGAAAACATCATAAATGATCACTGTGACAGTGAAATGACGAAAATGCCCTTCAGTTAATGGACAAAGCATAACGGAGTTAACAATAAGGACAAAACGTCAAAAGTTTTGAAAGCACATGGACCATATATGATGTTTTTAAACCACATAAACTAAACTTCATATATGAAGAAACCAATGACCATTTATGATGTTTTTTCTTAAAATAATAAATTTTATCATTCAACCCTTCCTTTAACAATATGTTTATTATTATTATTATTATTATTATTATTTTTAAATCAAATTCATTGGGACATCTAATCGTGGTATTTGATAGGGGTGAACATGGTGTGGTTCGTTGCGGTTTTTTGGCCAAAACCGAACTGCAAACCGCAAATGCTGTTAATCCAACTGCAAAACCGAATAGTGCAATTATTCCATCGGTGCAGTTTTTCAGTTTTTATGCGGTTTTGCAAAACTAAAAACCGCAACGTTCCAAAAAATTTTGGTTTTTGTAAAACTAAAAGCCGCACTATCGATTTCGGTTTCGATTAATGTAGTTTAGGGGTGTTCGTTTGGATGGATCAGTTTGATCCGATCCAATCAAGTGAATCCAAATTGATTTCAGTTTTCAAAACATGGATCCAAATAGTCCAAAATAAATTCAAATCTGATCCGATCCGATCCAATTACAAATCGGTTGGATCGGTTTTTATAATTCGGTTTTCAAAAACCGAAACATTTTAAAACGACATATAATTATAATGTTACCCAACTTTACAAAAGAAGCGAAAAAAAATTATTTAGTTGTGATTTGAAACTTATAAACAATTACTAAGAAGATATATTATAGTTAAATATTTTATAGATAGAAAACTTTTGAGAGAAAATGCATATTAATGTTTTTTTTATTGGGTGAAACGTTTTGAACGTATTTGAAAAAATAAATTACAAAATTAATAAATAACTACAGATATATATTATAAATAAATAAATAATAAGTATTTATTCGGTTTTTTGAACTATTCGGTTTTATTTTATAAACCAAATCAATCTGAAGTCCAAAATAATAATTCGGTTTTGTAAAATCAAGGATCCGAATATCCGAACAAATAGTCCAATCCAAATTGTCCAATTCGATTTTATCCAAATAATGAACACCCATGGTTATTTCAAATTTTTTGGTTTACTGTTGGATTTTTTACTCGTCGTTAGTATTTGTATCATTCACTACTGAAAAATCCCGATTACTCAATTTTTGTGAATACGCCCAAATCAAACGAGTGAAGTATGTCTTTCTAATTTGGGATTTCGAGGGGTTACCACAAAAAATGTTCGTTAAATTCTTTATTGCTTCATCTACTGTGAAACTGGAAACTTTTTGATTTACAAGGTCTCCCGCATCCCAACGACCTCGCCCCCAATCTAACAGGTTTCAGTTTTTATTAAAAAAATCTAGACGATGAGAGAAACCCTAGCATCAACCTCATCATCAACAACATCCGATAGCACTCCACCAATTGAATCAGCTTGGATTAATGCTCACGAAAGATTATCACCTCGTTGGCAATCCTCCGCTCTTTCGCCCCAGGTACCTTATTCATATCGAGTTTGTTAGGTTTGCGCTGTGCTACTTCTTTTACAAAAGGCATATGTAGTGTTTATGCGATTCTAAAGTTTGGAATTTGATGTTCGGAAAATTTGGGATTACCATCATTCTAAAATTCAAAAATTCACAGTGAGTATAGACACTCTTAGTATGATTACCGACTAAAGAACGCTTTCCTGATTTAGTAACGGAAAGAATGAGTTTTTCTGTTGGTAATTTTGTTTGCAGTCGGCAATTCCAATCGCAATATCTAGGGTTAACCAGGTGGATGCAGGGAGGCTCGACATTGAAATGTCAGCCATGCTCAAAGAGCAAATGGTTAAAGTTTTCTCTGTTATGAAGGTACATCACGCGATTCATTGATTATCCATGATTAGTTGATTACTATCTCCTAATTAAGCACAATTGGATGCTTTTTTATACTAATCAGTCGTGTTCATTGGAGATTAATTATGTTCCTCTTCTTTCCTTTTTGTGATTAGCCAGGATTATTATTTCAATACGAAGCAGAACTTGATGCTTTCCTTGAGTTTCTTATCTGGAGGTTCTCAATTTGGGTTGATAAACCTACTCCAGGAAATGCTCTCATGAATCTACGATACAGAGATGAACGCACCATGGAAACAAGAGCAAAACGTAAGCTTTTTAAAGCAATTACACAATATGAAACATGAAATGAAGCTTTATCTTATGGTTTCCATCATCATCCTTCTAGTTAGAACAGGGTTAGAGGGACCTGGGCTCACAGTTTATCAGAAAATATGGTACTGTGTTGCTACAGTTGGTGGTCAGTATATTTGGACTCGTTTGCAATCCTTTTCTGCTTTCCGCCAGTGGGGTGATTCTGAACAGGTATCTAACATTCAATCTCAACATATTTTAATTAAAAAAACTTAATTTTTTGATGATGAAATTAAATAATTAACATAATTTTTTTTTTTTTTTTTTTTTTTTTTTCTTCTCTCTCTATCCCCCTCTTGATGTTGTTTGTTATGTGGGCAGAGGTCACTAGCTCGTAGATTATGGTTTATAGTACAACGCGTTGAAGGATTTTATAAAGCTGCATCTTTTGCTAATCTGCTTGTATTTCTTTACACCGGAAGGTATATGAAAGAAATATTAACATACTTTCGTTTCTTTGTATTACAATATTGTATATTTACGTATTTGTCCCTTTTGAATACAGGTATAGGAATCTTATCGAGAGAGCTATAAAAGCAAGACTTGTTTATGGGAGCCCTCATATGAATCGTGCTGTTAGTTTCGAGTACATGAATCGCCAATTAGTTTGGAATGAATTTTCGGTAATTATCATTCTTATTTATATGACTATCATATAAATCACCAATTAATCTTTTTAGTAATTTTTATTCCCATTTTTCAGGAAATGTTGTTGTTGCTACTTCCCCTTCTCAATTCGTCTTCCATGAAGAATTTTCTTCGTCCATTCTCAAAAGATAACTCTTCAGGTTCTGCTGGAGATGAAACACTATGCCCCATCTGCCAGGCCAATCCAACAACCGTGTATCTCGCCCTTCCTTGTCAGCATAGGTACATTGCTAAATCAAAAATTACCATTTTGCCCTTTACACTAGGGACTGAGACTAAGGCCGATGCCAATGGAAAAAAAAAGTGAAATAAGGTGGGACGGGGACTTGTTCTTGATGTCTCGTCTAGGCAAAAGACATAAATGCCCTCCTCATCATAAAAAATAGCCTTGGAAAAATTGTTTTGTATATTAAAATTTTAATTTAACATAACAAGAATAATGCTTTGGTGATTGTTAGGTATTGTTATTACTGTCTTAGAACGAGGTGTGCTGCGACTCCGTCGTTCCGGTGCACCAGATGCAGTGAACCGGTTGTTGCGATGCAACGGCATGGTGGTTTGGTCGACACGATAAAAGAATAAGGGCGTTTATGTCTTTTGCGTAGATGAGATGTGGGGTTTAATTTAATAAGAAATGAACATTTCTTGTAACACAAAAGAAATTAATTATACTTAATTTACTTTTGATCATTCTTTCACATTTGCTTAGGCTATTTCTTATACTTGCCCCGTAGCTTATGGGGTGGGGCGGCATGCTTGACGCGGTAATACAATGCCGCCCTAAGCGGCCCCTGCCAATCGAAGACCCCACTATGGTGAAGGCGCCGCAGGCTTTTTCCTCTTTTCCAGTTAAAATATAACCATTGGCTTAAAATATTTAATTTTTTTTTCTCCTATAAATTCTTTTAATCTCCAACAATTTTACACAATCATTTCAGTCTCTATTTCTAGAAAATGTTTATAAAACTTAAAAAAAAAATACAAGACGGAATCATCTTCATGACTTCATTGGAGCATGGCAAGGCAAAAAAATTTCCCACAACAATGGTAGAAGCACCAATCTTCATTTGGGCTAACGAAGTTGAAAGTTCGCATCTAAAATTAGAAAGAGCAGCTTTAAACAGAGATTATAAAGACAAAATTGCAAAAATGGTACCTGTGTTGTCAAATTTATGCAGTTTTAGTCCAAAAAAGTTGGTGGGGCATCAATAGTCCAATTTCCAAATTTATGCAGTTTTAGTCCAAAAAATTTCCAAATTTATGCAGTTTTAGTCCAAAAAAGTTGGTGGGGCATCAATAGTCCAATTTCACATATTTTGTGTGGTTTTAGTCCTATAGTTGGCATTTATACGTGGTTTTGGTCCATAATCCACCGGAAATGACAAATCTGCCCTTAAATATATATATATATATATTTTTAATTTCATTTAATTTTTTTTCTAATTAAAAAAAAAAAAAAAAAAAAACCCCAAACTCTCTCTCCTCTCTCTCTCTCTCCTCTCTCTCTCTCTCTCTCTCTCTCTCTCTCTCTCTCTCTCTCTCTCTCTCTCTCTCTCTCTCTCTCTCTCTCTCTCTCTCTCTCCATATCCTTGTTCCCAAACTAAAGTCGTTTTGATTATTAAAGTAAATGTGAATGAAAGTTTTGCCAATTTTGGATTTGGAGTCCATTTACGAACTGGAATCAACCCCTTCATCTCCATATTCAAATCTCCACAGAACCCATTACCCGTCGTCATCAATCTTTCTCAAACCCTAAGCCTAGCCATGGCGACTCTCTCTGCTCCGGATAGAAGACCCACACGCCTATCTCGTTCAATACCAACTAGCTTCTGCCTCTGCCCTCGACTTAAAACCCCAGTTCTTGAAAACTCCATAGTCGTCACAATTCTGCATCACAGTGTAGAGAAGAAACAACCACTCATTTCAACTAAAACTGCAAAACTAGGTTCGAAGAAGTCGATGTAATTTGTATTTCTGAAGCCCACTTTGATTTACACTTGTCTAAATCTTATCCCGAAATGGGTCATCGTGATTCTGATTCTAAAAAGGAGGTTGATGAAGCGCCCGTGGATCCATGAGAGACTGATTATGAAGCCAATCCCAAGTAGCTCCTTTGTCACTCTACAATCCTCCTAACTTCAGTTATCCAATATTCGCCTTCATAAATCAACATCAGTCCCCTTCCAACAATTCTAAAAATCCATATGCCTAGAGAGGAAGTTTAAGAGTTGTGTGTATAAGAACGTGTTGGAGATTGTGTTTTGGAAGCTTAGAAATTCCAAGAGTACTTCGACGACTGTTGGTCGGAAAGGGGTGGCGTTGCTCAATGGGTTTTCATACAATTTGTTGACAGAAGGGATGGTGATTAAACCGGAGGAAGTTTCATTAGGGATGAGCATATGGACCGGGGAACCGGCCGGAACCGGAACCCGATGGAACCGGTCGGGCCGGGACCGGGACGTTATTTTTGTGGATTTTTGGAACCGGGAACCGGTAGGAACCGGAACCGATATAACCGGCAAAAACCGGAACCGTGTGATGCTATTTTTCGAGGACCGGTTCCAACATTCGAAGACACGACAAGAACCGATAGGAACCGGTAGAACCGCCGGGCCGGTTCGGTTCTTGATTTTGGCCGAAGCCGGTTCCCGGGTCGGGTCCGGTTCGGACCGGTTCCAGCCGGTTCGGTCCTTTTGCTCATCCCTATAAGTTTCATGGTTTGAGGAAGGAAAGATGGGTGAGAGTGGGATTGATGTTGGCAGCCATTAAATTTTTAAGTGTGCGTGTGTGTGTTTTGTTGTCAGAGAGAAAGACAAATGGGGTTGGTCGGCCTTATTTTTTTATTTTTATTAATTAAAAACATTAACATATATATATATATATATATATATAAAATTAAAAACTTATATAAAAGGTATAATAGTCATTTTAAGTTGATAGGGATCAAAATCACTAAAAAGATTCAAAATTGAACCACGGATACACCACTAAACTTTTTTGGACCAAAACTACTGAAATTTGACAACCACATAGTCCATTTTTGCAATTTTGTCGGTTGTAGAAAACCAAAAAGGTTCAAAGTAGCGCAAATCATTCACACATCTAAAAGATGTAAAACAAAAAAAGTTCAAAGTAGCGCAAATAATCAGCAAGAGAAAATGTAAAACGAGTATTTGATGTCCTTAAATGACTTTGACACATAGTGAAAACCTAACTTGAGCATGGTCTCCTACAAAAAATAAAATAAAATAAGAACATACTATGATTATAGAAGATGAAGCATGGAATGTGTAGATGTGATGAAACTTATGGTCAACCATCTCATGAACAAGAATAAATTGATGCCCAATAATATCAAACTAATGTTCGGGAAAATACGTAGTTGAGAAACGCATAACAACCGCCAATTAGATTTGATGGGACATATTTAAACTACTCAACTATTCAATGACGAAAAATAGATGTATGTAATTTTCTTTCCTTATTTAAGGTTTATATTTTTCAAGTGAATGATTTACTTTTTTATTTTATTACTATAATATTTTTTTGTTTAGATTGATGAAAAATTTTCATTATTGTTAACCTTATATTTATTTTTGTTTTTATACGGTAAGTTAAATGTTTTAAAATTAATAATAATTATTTGTATTAAAAAATGTGAAATTTAAATGTAGGGTTATTGTCATTAAAACCTTACGAAACCTGGTTTAATTTGATTATGTTTCAGTTAGTCTGTGATAAAATTTAAATGACGATGGTGGTGATCAGCAACGTAGAGGTGGGCGACGGTCGTAGTGGTAATCAACGACAACATATAAATGGACGATGGTCATGTTTTTATTTCCCCCGAAGAAAAACATAGGCGGTAGTAACTAAAGTGAAACGATCGATAAAGGAGGGTTTTGATGACCAAAATACTTTTTAAGATCATTTAAAACTAAAAGCAAGAGTTTGTAGGGGTTTGATGACAAAAACCCTTAAATATAAAGTATAACATGGTTTGAAAAATAAAATGAAAGATGAAATATATGAGTGACGTGACACTAATGTGATAATAGAAAATAAAAGATGTGATACAACCATAACACATAGCCATATATATGTTATACTAACGTGATAATAGAAAATAAAAGATGAGATATGACCATTACACATAACCTTATATATGTTATGATAAATACTTGTACAATCTTTTGAATGTTTTGTGAACTTTGTGCGGAAAATAGCTGTATGATCAATTAGTTTTAGTGGTGAATACTACTATATTGATGATAGCAAGAAACGTATATAATTATATCATCGATTAAAACTATATATGTTTGACAGACCACCCCCTCACCTCCTCCCCCTTCCTTTAAGGGGAAAATCTTGAGTTAATATTGCCAAAGATCTGAAAAATTAATTGATGACCGAAAAACTTTTTTTTTTTAACGGCACCGAAAAATTAGTTGATAAGCTAACTCGATGACATAGAGCCCTAAAATATTGCTAACAATAAGTTAGATGTGACGTTTCATCTATGCTATTAGTTCCTGAGCATTTCACTATAAATTTTGCATTTTATGATATTTTTTTGATATCACTATCTTGTGATAAAAATTTAAATTACTGATATTAAAACTTAAAAATGAATATCACAGTTTGCATCCATAAAGTTGCAATAATAGTTTGGTCAGTCAAAGCCAACACAAAGAGGAGAAGTGATTCACTTGAGCTTATCAATTTGCCCGAAATCCGGGAACCATCCCTCTTATCCCCAAAATCTAAAATAGAAATTGTGCCTCTCACAAACTTTGTCGCCGCTGTCCGGCCACTGCAACCGCCACCGCCACCGCCCTGCTGTTGCTTGAGTCTTGAGGTTTGACTTGTTATTTCTTTTCTTTTTCATTTCGCTATTTCGCTAGTTCGGCTTGGGCATTTCATGAATTGTTTCTGTTGCTTACAGTTATAGTACTTCTGGTAATTATCAGTTGTTATTAGTGAATATTTTGTTAAGCTTTGTTAATGGGATTTGGGAGAATATTTTAGTTAGGGTTGTTCATCGTTAATTGTTAATCACTAGTAGTTATCATTTTGATAGGGTTTGTTGAAAATCTAAATTTAATTGTTAGAGAATTATGGTTTAAGTTAGTTGTTCATCGTTCATCGTTAATTGTGAGCAATTACAAACTAATTGATCTATTATTTTGCCAGTGAAAAAATGAAAAGGAAAGCATCAGGAACATCTTCAATTGTAAATGAGTCCAATGATATCCCTCCACCTAGCTCTTCTCTTACGATACTAACTGAAGCTGAGTTGAATGATCTGCCATGGGATCCATCTGAGAGAAAAAGAATTTCAGAGTATCACCCTGATCAAAGAGACGAAATAAGAAAACAATATCTAATTAAAGGACCTTGTCAACCACGTGGACATACATTTCCATGGAGAATAATAGGAAACAAGAAAAGACGTTTCAACCCAGCTTGGTTTAATCAATTTAGTGATTGGTTGGAGTACAGTGTGAAAGTAGATAAAGCCTTTTGCTTGTGTTGTTACCTGTTTAAAGACCATGTTTCAAAACAAGGTGGATGTGATACTTTTGTGACAGAAGGATTTAATAGTTGGAATAAAACTGAGAGACTTAGTCTTCATATGGGTAGTGTCAACAGCTTACACAATAAAGCACTTAAGAAATGTGAAGAGTTTATGAAACAAGATGAATCTATTGCTGTTGCCATTCAGAGCAAAAACAATTTTGTCAAGAATGGGTATCAAATTCAATCAAGTCCTTCTAAATCCACTACTACTCGCAACAATACAGCTCTTCTTGTAATCGATATGCAGGTATCCTTTTCTCCTTTCACTCTAACTCTCTCTCACACACACACATGCTTCTTTATGCATTTGTGTTTGATAATTACAATTTACATTTTTTTAAGAATGTTTTTTTTTCCTTCATTCTAGAATGATTTTGTGTTGGAGGATGCGCCATTGCGTGTTGATGGTGGCCTTGCTATAGTTCTTAATGTTATTAAGGCAGTTGAGGTTGCTAGACAACGAGGCTTCCTTGTTGTTTGGGTACTTTTCTATATAAATATATCATTTTCTCTCTCTCTCTCTCTCTTTCATCTTGTTAATCTAGTTATTAACTTTTAGTATCATAGAATGTATTTGGAATACTTCTACGATGCTAGTTAGGTAATGATACTATGGGGCTGTTTCTTTTTGACTTAATCTCTACAGAATGACTTAATGTAGGTTGTAAGGGAGCATGACCCAAAGGGAAGAGATGTTGAGGTGTTCAGGAGGCATTTATATGGTGATGGAAAAGCAAAGCCTACTTCAAAAGGGAGCAAAGGGGCAGAGCTTGTTGATGGTCTTGTTATCAAAGAAGAAGATTATAAGGTGGTAAAGACAAGGTTTAGTGCCTTCTTTGCTACAAATCTTCATTCATTTCTTCAAGGAGCAGGGATTGATAGTTTAGTTGTTGTTGGTAAATAATTTTCTTTTTATTATTCTGTAACTTGTTTTATTATTCTGGTGGATATACATATACATATACATTAATGAAAGTTGATTGTAGGTGTTCAAACTCCAAACTGTATAAGGCAGAGTGTTTTTGATGCTGTGGAACTTGATTACAAATCTGTTACTGTTATTGTTGATGCCACAGCTGCTGCTACACGTGATGTACATGCTGGTATGTTTATCTTTTTGGCTTTATTTAACAAATTGTTATATCAAAATTCAAATATTCTTTTCCATACAATAGAGTTTTATTCAAACAATATTTTTTCAATCCAATGAACTGAACCATTTCATTGCTTATCCAATTCCCACATAAAAACTCCCTTAGGGTTTGCTTGGTATGATGTATGGAATCACACAGGAATGGAATGATTAAAGTAATATGATTGGTTGGCTCGATGGAAATGGAATGAAATGAGTCATTCAAAGATGTTTTTTTGTTATGTATAATTAGAAAAGTAAACTGATGAATGGAAAAATAATATTATTTTATAAAAATAAACTTTAACTAAGTAATGATATATGGTTAAATATTTCATGCCGTTTAAAACATATACTATATGTGTTTCAATCAGTTAAAAAAATTATGTATCAGTAAAAAGAATTGTTTATGAAAATATAAAAGCAAACACCATGAAATCTAGAAATAGAATTCCACACCCCATGGAATGAACATAAAAATACTTCCATTCCATTAAAAGCAATCATCATTTTGAAGTGTGGTTCCTTTGCATAGGCTTAGGGGAATATTCTGTCAAATCTCAAGTGTTTTTAAGGTTCTAGTTGTCACTTTCTTTTTGAGCTCTAAAAGGAATGTGAACAATAATGGCTTTTATCATGTCTAGCCATTAAAGGTGACTATAGTTGAAAGAAAGGGATAAAGGTGTAAAATATTATATTCATATACATATACATTTAATAAAATATATAGTCATATCACTAAGACAATCATTAATAAAAGAGGGATAAAGCTATTATCGGGATCCATATGAAATCATGACCTCCACAAATAAAAGGTTAAATGTCAAAAACTTAATATTAAATACATTCCTGGTTTTGTTAAACTCTGTTGCTTTATAATCGCCTTCTTGGTTTTCTTATATTTATGTTTCTCTTACGTTTTTGTCACCATTTTTGTGGTTATACTTACTTATATGTAAACTTTGTTTTTTTTTTTTTTTTTTTTTTTGAACCAGCAAATGTTAATGACATGAAGAATATAGGAGTTGCAGCTCCAACACTTAAAGAATGGTGCGAGTCCAGTAGCTCCAACACTTAAAGAATCGTGCTAATATTAAAATATTATTTTCATTTCTTTTGAGCGTATGTCAATATGTATATATATACACACATGATTGAAGGGTTATATATTTTCAAATGAATATGGTTGTAATGGCCTTCCGTTGATTATCTATTAATGTGTTGTACTTTTGATTTCCTTTTACCATTTGGACATTCTGTGCAGTGTGCACTTAAATAATAAGTGGCAGTAAATTTTGGAATTATGCGTATATTCATCTTAGAATATATACTCCTTCACCAACGAATATACAAAAGAATCTTATGTAAACGTATGGATATCTTATACCCCAACTATAGTTACGATTTCAAAAACTGTAAAATGTAATGTATATATCCATATATTGAAATACTTTTTAAAATAACATTTAAATAGTATTGAAAAATATATAAGTGGAAAAATAAGAATAAAGTCCCATAAACTTCAAAGTCTTTTAACAATTTAAAAGTAAAGTTGTCAAAAGAGTATACAAAGACATTAAAAGTAACTAATGTTTTGAAAATTGGATACAGTGGCGTCAACATGAGTCCCACATGAGACCTGATTTACTTTTGGTTTTAACCGGTTTAGTGAAATTCACGTAATATAAATACATTAGAAAACAAATTACATAACATTACCGAATAAAACATACCATAATACTTATACTATACATCATTTACTCATTATACTAAAAACCACAACATACTGAAAAACACAATACTACTCATCATCTGCCGTTTGCCATTCCAGAAAATGCAACTTGAATGTTTGTTTTTCTTTGTTAACACATTCTTGTTTTCCAATCCTTCCATTTAACTCAACCATTACCTCATGCTTTTGCCAATCAAGAGATTTTTGGGACTCATGTATCTACATAGTGTTGGTGATTTGTTATCATCAATATTATTTAAGTGTAATGAGATTACTTTGTTGACCAAAAGTGATCTTGATAATTATTAAACAAGTAAGGAAGGTGTGGAGTACACACTTGTTTAAGTTTGATCAAGTTTCAAAGTACACTGTCATTTAGGGGTGAAGCCCCTGAACGAACGGGGGTCCGGGGGCAACGCCCCTGGCGGGGTCCAAGGGGCAGAGCCCCTGGCTGGGGTCGACCCTTATCCATATATCCGTTTTTATGTCAGTTTTTATGGTTTTATGACAGTTTAAAACTGTCATATGCAAGTTTTCAGATAGAGATCTTAAAGTTGGTTTTGGTCTTATTTCTGGTACATACGAAAATATCATCAAACACTCTCTGTTCTTGTCTCTCTGAGTCTTATCCAATTGAGGATTTGGGAGTACCACCCAAATACTTCGATTTGAAAGTGATAATCACGATTCTCAGAATTTCTATGCCTTTCTATACCCAAATTTCTAACACCATGCAGTTTTATTAATTTCTAATTTTGTATCTTTTGTACATTCAGTCTATTTTGCGATTTGATCATATTTTTTGCAATCACATTATTGCTACATGAATATTGAAAATATACTTCTCAACTTCTTCTTCATTGGTCATTACATCATTCTTCAACTCATTAAGCATCCTCCAAGCTCTAAGTGTTTCATTAGAGGTGGAAGGGCAGTCGAATAAATATCATCGAATATATTTAAGTCTTTGGATGGTATGTCATCATCTTCTCACCATTTACACACCTTCCCCATCACAACCCAACACCATGGCTACCATCATCCCACGGCCTACAAAATCATATTCGAAGAGAGGATACGAGGAAGCGGGAGAGGGTGGCTAAGATTCACACATAACAACAAAGAGAGATATAGACGCAGAGGTGTTGTAACATCCCAAAAACTAGGGTAAAAATTTCATTTTTAATATAATCAAAACGCTCATTTATCCTTTATTCAAACATTTAGAAGTATTTCAAAATACAAACAATTATCAGAGTTTATTCCCAAAATCACGAGTAGCGGAAAACACGGGTGTATGCGTTGCGATCAAGCTGGGCCATTCCCTTTCGAACCAGAAGTACCTGAAACCATAAACCACAAATTGTAAGCACAAAGCTTAGTGAGTTTCCCAAATACCACATACCATACATAACATATGAGCCAAACATATCAAGCATACAATAGGATGTGCTTTGTGCTAACCATAGTCTTGTCATTATGCCACGGGCCATATCATGGTCTTTCCTTGCCAGGACGGGGGCCAAAACCATGGGTCGTGCCAAGAGCCACCTCCTGGTCTTCCATGCAAGCATCACAAAGACAACTAGCATACAATCTACAACTACTTATCTAATTAACTGCCAGAGTTCAAACTATGGTCTTGCATACAGATTGTCAAGAGCCACCACCTGGTCTTTCATACAAATGCCAAGGGCCACCCCCTGGTCTTCCTATAATATATAAACCAAATAGGTCGGCGTTGGTGTCTTCGACCCATAGTACAGTGAGGAGACTCACCTCAACAGCTGAACCCACAGATAAATCTCTGACTGCTGATCTGCTAGAATCCCCGCACTATCAAACAAATAACATCCAATTAACAATTGGGTTCCAATCCAATTCCAACAATCCAAATATGGGGTAAAAAGACCATTTACCCCTCCCCTAGTTTGGTCCAAGACTAAGGCCCAAACTCCCAATTATAAAGGCCCACAAACCAACAACCATCCAAAGCCGACTTATGGCCCAATTTTCCAAATTGGGCCCAAACCCTTACATGGGCCTTATCCTAAAGCCCATTAAATTTTCCTTAATCCAAAACACTTATTCTCAGATGGCCCAACAAATCCACAAGCAACCAAGCCCAAACAATAGCCCAAACCAAAGCTCAAACATGCAAGGCCCAATAGACCGAGTACGCGGGGCATACTCAGCACACGTACGCGCAGCGTACTCGCTTGGAGTCTGTACATTAAATGTACTTGCTTGTACGCCCAACGTACTCACTCTATTCAACCCAAAACTTGATTTTTCACTTAACCCATTAAGACAAAGCTCCAAAACATAGATCTGACTTCCTTGAGCTGGAAAATCACGTAAAGTTGTCAACTTTACGTTCATACATGGCTAAAAGAAGCTCTTAAGCTTAAAAGGAACTTAATAGATGACCTAATGCATCATGCATGCATGACACCAAAATACACATAAAGCTTGCACCTTTATGCTCAAGGATACCAAAACAAACTCAAGTATGAAAGAACAAGCCCTTAAACGACCTAACTCATCCATAAACCCAAAAAAGAGACCAAAATCATAATAAACTAATCATGAAGAGATCTAAACATACACAAGCCAAGATGCAAACTTGATACCTCAGAAAGCTCTCCCACAAGATGATGATTCTGGATCCAAAGCCTTTTCACCAAGCATATAAACCTCAAGCTTCTCTACTTCCTTTACCAAGGCTAAAATAAGCACCAAGGTCCTCTTAATAACTCAAGAACACCACTAAGAGGCTAAGGGGGTCGATTTAGGGTTTTTAGGTATGGAGGCAGGCTTAGAAATGAACAAAAGAGGCTAACATGAAGCTTATATAAGATACATCAAGAAAAAATAGGGTTTCTTACTCACCATCGTACGCCCAGCGTACGAGGTCTCGCACCCCGATCCAATCCTCACAGTACGCTAAGCATACATCCCATTACGCACGGCGTATGTAACACCTCAAATTGTAGACCAAAATTTTCATTTTTAAAACTTCCAAAAACATAGTTTCACAAACAAGTCTCAAGTACAATCATTCCAAAACCACAAGTGTTATATTTATCAGAGTACATAAAAGATCATCTCCCAGTAGTAAATTCCTAGTGCATGTGTATAATCAGACCTTCGCCTTCCCGCGGTCTTGCGAAGTACCTGCCACATATAAATCGACAACTGTAAGCACAAAGCTTAGTGAGTTCCCCAAGATACCACATATACTCAACATAGTGCATGTGTACAATCAGACCTTCGCCTTCCCGCAGTCCTGTTGAGCTAACAACATGCTCGGGAGGTTATCCGCAACCTCTGGTAGGCTAAAAGCAGCCCCAGCCAAACAATTATCATATCAACACATAACATAGCACACATAACATAACATAACAGCTAGACCCAGCTGGTCATAATATTACAGCTATCCTACCACACATGTAAGAGTAAGTGAGGAGACTCACCTGATACTGATGACACGAAAACCTAGCACCCGAACTGCCAGATCTAGACTCCACCTATTCAACTAAACAAATTACCCTTAGTTAATGATTAAATCCCATTACCATCTCACGAGTCCAAATCCACAGCTAAGCCCACTAAGGGCAAAAAGGACCATTTTGTCCCTCCCTAGGTCCATACCCTAAATTTTGACCTAAAAGTCAAAATCAGCAAAAGTCAACGAAGTTAACCGAAGTCAACACCCAGCGAGTACGCTGGGCATACCACTGGTTAAGCATGCGACAGTGGATTTCAGACCTACGCTGCACGCAGTTGGGAGTACGCACTGCGTACTCCTCGGACTCCTATTTCTCACTTCTTTTGGTCTTAATCAATTAAGACAAACACTCCAACCATAAATCTGAGCTAATCAAGGTCTATTAATCCATAAAGTCGTGAGCTTTAAGCCTTTGCATAGCTAGGAGAGGCTAGAACAACATTTCATCCATTCCAAGGTACTTTACTCATGCATAGAGTCAAAGGAAGGATCAAGCAACCATTTTTATTGATCTAGAGGCCTAAAAATACATAGACGGACAACCTAAACTCTCAGAATAGTCTTAACTCGAAAAAGATCCAACTTTGGGGACTTAAACTCATAAATCTAACACTAGAAAGATCTTGAAGAACAATAGCCACGGTATAAACTTTATACCTGAAAATGATGCACAAAGATGGGTGGTTTCTGGATCTCAAAGTTGGATGACACCTTCTTCTTCTTCTTCTTCTAACTTCCTTCTTTAACTACAAGAGCCAATAATCACTTTAAGCTTGAAAAATCACACCCACAAGCACACACTTAAGATTTAGGGTTTAGGAAACGTTGGAGGCTGATAAAGGTGGCTATAAATGAGGCCATCATGTTCCTTAAATAGGGACACTCAAAATATTAGGGTTTGCAAACTGAGTCTAGTACGCCAGTGTACCAAGGAGTACGCCCAACGTACCAAGGAGTACGCC